CAGTGCGCTGCCACTACCTCAAGCGCTACCACAGCCAGCCCAGGGTGAGGTGGTGGGGGCAGGTTAGGGTGAGGTGGTGCGGGCAGGTCAGGGTGAGGTGGTGGGGGCAGGTCAGGGTGAGGTGGTGGGGGCTGGTCAGGGTGAGGTGGTGCAGGCTGGTCAGGGTGAGAAATTGATTTTTGAGGCGCCTCAAAAACAACCTGCAGATGTTCCTACACTATCGCACGCGCTGCCGATAACCTCAAGCGCTACCACAGCCAGCCCAGGGTGAGGAAACCGTTTGGTGCGGGCAGGTCAGGGTGAGGTGGTGCGGGCAGGTGAGGGTGGGGAAACAGTTTGATGTGCACATATCCGCTAACGATGTTTGATCTGCTCATCCCACGCCTCATATCCAGCTCAGGATGCTCATATCCGCTTCCGATGTTCAGATATCACCCCACGCCTCCCCCGCTCTCAACTTTCCATGCATCCCTTCACGTTATGGGTGCTCGTGACTCACCCTGTTGGCCTGCCTGGTGGCGAGGCGAGTGGCATGCAGTGCACCGACTGCAGGTGAGGAACGTGGTGGTGGAGGAACGTTATGGGTGCTCTTGACTTGCCTGGTGACGAGTGGCAGGCGTTGCACAAAGTGCGGGTGAGGAACGTGGTGCTGAAGGAGGGGCCGCCACTTTTGAGTCGACTCAAAAGTCAGCTCTGTTGGCCTGCGTGGTGGCGAGTGGCAGGCGGGTTCGGGTGAGGAACGTGGTGCTGAAGGAGGGGGCACCACTGGACCCCAGCATAGGCTTAGTGAAGAGCTTCGCCTTTACAAAACCCTACGCGAATAGCTAGGTTTAACTACAACATTGCTAAACTTTCTCCTTTACTGCTGCTCGCTGGAATACGTCTAACGATCTGCAGGCGGTGCACAAAGTGCGGGTGAGGAACGTGGTGCTGAAGGAGGGGCCGCCACTGGACCCCAGCACGGGCATGGCCTTGGCTCTCAACCTCATCACCTTCTGAGACGTCTCAAAACTCACGCTGTTGTCCTGCCTGGTGGTGAGTGGCAGGCGGTGCACAAAGTGCGGGTGAAGAACGTGGTGTTGAAGGAGGGCCGGCCACTGGACCCCAGGACAGGCATGGCCTTGGCTCTCAACCTCAGCACCTTCTGAGACGTCTCAAAACTCACCCTGTTGTCCTGCCTGGTGGCGAGTAGCAGGCGGTGCACAAAGTGCGGGTGAGGAATGTGGTGCTGAAGGAGGGGCCGCCACTGGACCCCAGCACGGGCTTAGTGAAGAGATTCGTCGTTACATAACCCTACGCGAATTAGCTAGGTTTTACTACAACAGCTGTTTTCTCCTTTGCTAAACTTTCTCCTTTACTGCTGCTCGCTGGAATACGTCTAACGATCTGCAGGCGGTGCACAAAGTGCGGGTGAGGAATGTGGTGCTGAAGGAGGGGCCACCACTGGACCCCAGCACGGGAATGGCCTTGGCTCTCAACTACAGCACCTCCTGTGGCAGCACCACGTACTGGGGTTACTTCTGGAGCGGCTTCGCCCTGCAGCAGTGAGTGCCTCTGCAGGAGTTGCAAAAACTTTCGTCAAGGAAACTGCGCACATGCTCCTTCCCATACCCTCCCTGCTTGCCGCTGGGTCGTCGGTCGGGACTAATACTCGTAGCTTTTATTTTCGTTGGCTCGCCCCTGCTGCCGGTGGTCTGCATCCCTTGCTTGAGAATGAGCTCTCTGTTCTGTTGTCAATTCTGCCTCGCTCTGCATCGCATGAGAGTGCAGTGCTAGCCTCTCACATGTTGCTGCTATTACACTGTGCTGCTAGCCTCTCACATGTTGCTGCTTGCCTCTGCCACAGCGTGCCTCTCTCCTCCCCTGCTACCCTGCCCGGCAACAGGGTGCTCGTGCATCCGGTGCGGCGCCGCGGATTTTGAGACAATATTTTAGGCGCCTAAAAAATCCTCCCCTGCTTCCCTGCCCCGCCTGCCTCTCCCCTCCCATGCTACCCTGCCTGGCAACAGGGTGCTCGTGCATCCGGTGCGGCGCCGTGGCTGTGCATTCACCTTCAACCTCACCTATGAGTCGTGTTTTGAGTGGACTCAAAACACGACACATCCTGCTGGTTGCCTTGCCTCTACCACAGCGTGCCTCTTACCTCCCCTGCTGTCCTGCCCGGCAACAGGGTGCTCGTGCATCCCGTGCGGCGCGGCGGCCGTGCGTTCACCTTCAACCTCACCTATGCCACGCACCTGGAGTCAAACACTACTGTCTTCGACGACTGGCGCTCCGCCCCTAACCTCACAGGCGGCCCCATCGCCACTCACTTTGCTCCATTCGACGTAGTGGTAGCGTACTTTGGCCTGCATGACGTCACACGCAGCAGTAATGCACTGGAGATGGCAGAGGCGTTCAGTGAGTCAGTTCCTCTTCTACCTTGCCCTTCCGCGCCCTCTCTATCTTTGTCCAGGCTTTGTTGCGATTACCACACTTCAAGCACGACCATGTAAATAGCTCTTATGCCCAACCTGTCCCTACCAATGCTGCAGAGTCGGTGTTTCTGCCTTCACTCCGGTCAGTGCAAGAGAAGAATAAGAGCAACAGCGTCAGAGGGTTCGCGTTCGTCGACAATGTAGCCAGGTGAGAGATTTTACGTCAGAGAGGCTTTACAACTAACAAGACTAAGGCCTGAATGCGTTTTCATCCTGCTGTGTTGCTGACATTCTGTCTTCAGGGTGTCTGAAGAGACAAAGTTTGGGCATTTCGGGGACCTTCAAGCGTTAACCCTTCCTAGAGATGACATGTGCATTGACAGCACCCATTACTCATGGCCAATCACGCTGGCCATGCTAGATGTTTGGCTTTCTGCTCTTTGTGAGGACGTTGACTGTGGCACAACAGAATCGGAACCTCCTTGTTGAGGTACCTTTGTTTCAAGGGCAGGGAGGGGGTCTTTCCTCCTGAGTTACTACAAATAGACTGGGCTTTATCATTTAGAAAAGAATCCTACAAATAGATTGTGAGGAGATTTTCCGGATTTCTTACCGTGTACCTCAACGATGCGTACAACACCCGCCTGACCGTCCCTTCATCCGTTACAAGGCGTTCGCCACTTCACGAGTCACTTTAGCCAAACCTCGCCTAGCTGGACTTGGTCGAGTCGGCTTATACGCTTTGAGACTTGCCCGAGCCTCGCTGCCAGCGTCGCACTAGATAGTTCGCAAGACCGCGTTACCGCTCATTTTTGCTTGCTACTTTAGTTCTCTCAAGCCTTCTCTTCATCAAATGCACTTGTAACAAAAGTACATTCCATGTATATCCATCTCAGAGGTGCCTATCGATTTGTAGTGTGGTGTCGAATCTTTTTTATTGTGGTTGTGATTGCAACTTCAAATACCGAACCTATGCTGTCAGTGTTGTGAACCATGTGTCAGAAAAGACCAGACATACTGGCTCGGCCTTGAGCTATTTGCGCCAATTAAATTTCCTTGCCGAGCCAGGCTCTGGTGGCGGCAAACCGATTTTGATCGAGAAATCGAACGAAGCACGGTGGCTTTGTGGGAATGAGGGGATGTGAGCCGTGGATCACGAATACTTGCATTTCGCCTTGGGTGGATGTGTTCTTGGTCCTGGTTGCTGCTGACCCGTGCCAGTCGAACAGGCATACTGGTCGGGTGGGAGGCTGGTCGTAATGATCTGAGGATATGTACAGACGTGAACCGAGTGTTGTTTTGACGGGACTGTTACCAGATCCGTCTACCATAACCGCGATTAAAATTTGACAACCAGGCTTAGGCCTGAGGTAATTGATAATGTTTGCCTCATGTTTCATTCCAAAGCCGTAATCAGGTCTGCTTCCATGTCTGTATGGTGATCGGAAACGATACTTTCTCGCGAACCATGCACATTGTACGAAACCTCCGGGTTGACTTCAGATTCCAACTAAGCAAAGCACAGCCGAGACTGGTTTTCAGATTCAGCAGCAGAGAAATGGCTCCTGGCTTCCTTGAAAACGAGAGCAATGCACAGCCGAGACAGGTTATTTCTCTCGTTTTTCGGTTTTCGAAGTTCGTGCATGACTGATGAACGGGTCGGGACTCGGGAGGGAGCCCTGATATGTGTTGGCAGTAGTTGTCACGGGTGAGAAAAGCCGTGTTCTGCTGAATCGTGTTGCAGGTGCTCATCTCGAGCACCTCCGCACGAATTCTTTCTTTCTTCCACGTGAATGAAAACCATAGACAGCTTGTACTATACATTGCTGTGGGCCTTCGCATCTCGAAGCTTTTGCGACCTTTGCGACTGCTGCGACTGCCTTCTCGTAGCTTGTACATTTATACTCAGCCCTTTCGGTGGAATGCGTTTTGTGTATGTATAACCAGCGTATAAGATCTGGCATATGTTGGCTTTACATCTGGTGACTACGATATTCACAAGATTGTTCCACCATGGGATCTACCTTCTCCCTTCCCTTCAGTCTATACCCTTCCTCTCACCGTCACCGCCAATAAGCCTGCGTGTTGGTACCAGGCATATTCTGACACGTTTTAAAATACGTTTCCCGTCGCCTCAGTATGGGTTCTGCCTTGTCTGTTCCGTTCAGCCTCCGCTCTTCCTCTGGCCTTCACCGTCAGAAATCACCCTCGCGAGACCGCCACCGGGCGGGTTACCACAGTTCTTCGCCCAGATCCAGGGAACCTCGCAGCGGGAGATCGGACGGTCGAGACTCGCCAGGGCTGTGTGTCAGTAACGACGCTAGGAAGGTCAGGAAACGGAAGAAACGTGGAAACTTCTTTTGGCTGTTCTGTTGCGGCCGAGAAAGCGGAGGTTCCGTTGCTGACATCAGCTCCATCCCCAGCTGCCGGGATTCGGACGACGGCCGTCAGAATGTAACGGATTCCGTCTCTTTGACGGCGGCCGGCAGACCGACCGTAGAAAGCGCGTCAGGTTTGGAGAAGCCTAAAACAGCGTCTGGCCGGTGGCTGCTCGACAGTGGCTTCTTGGAAGATTCGTCGCACATGTTGACCTCGTTGTCACAACACCAGCCGGACGCGCCGCAGGCGATTCTGCCGTTGTCGCATGGCAGCGGTTGCGATGTCGCTCACGCCTCGTCCTCCGTTCAGCAGTGCATCAACGATCCAGCAGGCGACGACTCACTAAAAGAGATTTCACACATCCCTGGTCCATGCAAAGCGTGCGACGCATGCGAAGACAGCGACATTCGCGGGCTGTGCGACCCATTTCTCCCGCGGGCGACACCAGGGCGTGCGGACACAGCGACAGGAGCGATATCCGACCAGAGAGCGGGTGACGGGGATAGGCGGGGAGAATGCGGTGAGGCGGAAGAAGCGCGCGCACAGCGGGGAAGGAGCCCCACTCTTGAGGCGATTGACGTTGAGGCAGGCATGAGCCCCGCCGGGGATTTTGCGCGGACTCCGAAGCTAGAGGCGGAAGAAGAAGCTTGCGCGCAGCGGCGGAGGAGCCCTACCCCCGAGGGAGTCTTTGCGCGGACTCCGAAAGTAGAGGCGGAAGAAGCATCCGCGCAGCGGCGGAGGAGCCCTATCCCCGGCGAAGTCCTTGCGCGGACTCCGAAGCCAGGGGCGGAAGAAGCGTGCGCGCAGTGGCGGAGGAGCCACACCCCCGAGGCGATCGACGTGATGAGCCTGCTGCAGGGGCTCAGCGACGGGGAGGAGGAGGCGGAAGGGGGAGGGGAGGCGGACGGGGAGGGGGGGGAGGACGCGGACGGGGATGGGGGAGAGGAGGCGGAGGGGGGAAGAGAGGCGGATGGGGAGGAGGGGGAGGGGCGCGAATTCGATGGGAAGGAAAATGAGGTGAGGGAAGTGGTGGACAGGGAGAAAGTGGAGGTGAGGGAGGAGGCGGACGGACAGGGAACCAGTGAGTCCCAGCAACCCCACCCTTCTCCGCAGAACCACCAGCAGCAGCCCCAGCAGCAGCCCCAGCAGGTTCACAAGCCCCAGCAGCAGGAGCCTCTGCCACAGGAGCAGACTCAAGAGCCAGAGCAAAATCAAGAGCTGCTGCATTGTCAAGATTCGCTGAATTGTCAAGATTCGCTGAATTGTCAAGATTCGCTGAATTGTCAAGATTCGCTGCATTGTCAAGATTCGCTGCATTGTCAAGATTCGCTGCATTGTCAAGATTCGCTGCATTGTCAAGATTCGCTGCATTGTCAAGATTCGCTGCATTGTCAAGATTCGCTGCATTGTCAAGATTCGCTGCATTGTCAAGATTCGCTGCATTGTCAAGATTCGCTGCATTGTCAAGATTCGCTGCATTGTCAAGCGGACCACGAGTTGAATGCTGATACTGGCCTGGACGAGCCAGCGCTGTTGGCTCCTAGTGGGGTTGGGTGCGGTGCGGAGGGTGTGGCAGCGGTGGAATGGAGTGCTGTTGCTCGCCAATGCGGTGTAGAAGATGGTGCCACTTCAGCGGCTGCAACGGAGTTTAACACCGTGACGGAGTGTAGCACTGTAACGGATTGTGGCTCTAACGCGTATTCGAGCTCCGTGGCTTGTTCTACAACCGCAGGGCCGGGGAAGCAGGTAGAAGGGTACGCAGAAGGGTACGCGGAAGGGGACAGGGGGGAAAGCAGCGCTCAGGGTGAGGGGGGAAATGGGGGAGGTAAGGAGCAGAGTCACAGGGTGGGTGGGGGGGAAGGCACAGGGGGTAAGCGCAGGAGCAGGGGCAGGGGGCGAGGGCGGGGAAGGGCTATTGGCGGGGTTCGGGGGAGGAAGGGGCGGAGCGGGGGAAGAAGCGGAGGTGGGGGAGGTGGGTGGAGAGGAGGTGGAGAAGAGTCATGGTTGGACGAGGGATCTTTGGAGGAGTTGGGTGCGGTGGAGGCGGGTTTGGAGGAGAGCGTTCAGTCGAATGACGTGGAGGTGGAGGGGATGGGGGGGAGGGGGGGGGAGAGGGGCGGAGGGGAGTGTGGTGGAATGGGTAGGCAGGGGCGAGGGGGAGGAGGTTGATGGGGGGATGGGTGGGGAGAGTCGATTGCAGGGGAGGGTAGGGGAGGAGCGGGAGAAGGGAGACGAAGGAGAGAAGGGAGAGGAGGAAAAGCAGTGTTTGCGGGATTTGAAGGATGGGGAAGAAATGGAGGATGGAGAGGGAGTGGAGGATGGGCAAGGGGTAAACGATAAGGGTGGGCCTGGCGGTCGGGTGGGTTTGGAGGATGTGAAGGGACGGGAGGGTGGGGAGGAGATGAGGCATGATGGCCAGAACGGAGGGAAGAACGAGGGAAAGGATGGGGGGAACTGGGAGGGTGGGAGGAGACTAGGAGACAGAGAGGAGGCCGAGGGGAGAGGGAGAGAGAGACGGAAGGACGATGAGGGAGGGGTGGGAGATGCGATGAGGGAAGAAAAGGAGGTTGAAGGTGGTGAGGCAGGAGGAGAGGCGAGGCGGAAAGAAGGGAAGGCTGACGCAGATGGGGCAGGGGGGCAGACGAGGAGGAGGGAAGAAAAAGGGGGTGAAGCAGAAGGGGCAGGAGGCGAGGCGAGGAGGGAGGATCAGGGGCAGGGCGGAGGTGGGAAGGGGAGGTACTGGGGGCTGGTGAGCATGGGCGTTCTGGCATGGCTGCGAGAGGAGGGGACGGAGGAGGGGACGGAGGAGGGGAGGAAGGAAGTGAGGGAGGAAGTGAGGGAGGAAGCGAGGGAGGAAGTGAGGGAGGAAGTGAGGGAGGAGGGGAAGGAGGAGGTGAGACAGGAAATGAGGGAGGAAGAGAGGGAGGAGAGGGTGGAGAGGGAGGAGAGGGAGGAGAGGGAGGAGAGGGAGGAGAGGGAGGAGAGGGAGGAGAGGGAGGAGAGGGAGGAGAGGGAGGAGAGGGAGGAGAGGGAGGAGAGGGAGGACAAGGAGGAGAGGGAGGCGGAGCACATAGCAGGTGCAGGGGAACTGGAGGAGGATGAAGACTTGGTGGAGGATGGGGAGGTTAGAGGGGTGACTGCCCTCTCGGCCGGCAGCAGCAGCGCCTTGGCTGCAGAGTACAAGCAGCACGTGGGGAGGGACGAAGAGACTTTTGAGTCGTCTCAAAAGTCACCTCAGTACGAGCAGCACGTGGGGAGGGACGAAGAGACTTTTGAGTCGACTCAAAAGTCACCTCAGTACGAGCAGCACGTGGGGAGGGACGAAGAGACTTTTGAGTTGACTCAAAAGTCACCTCAGTACGAGCAGCACGTGGGGAGGGACGAAGAGACTTTTGAGTCGACTCAAAAGTCACCTCAGTACGAGCAGCACGTGGGGAGGGACGAAGAGACGGGCGGTTTGACATTCCTCCTGAAGGAAAGCAGAGCGGTGCTATTGCGTGGAGGGTCAGATGAGGACGAGGAGGAGAGGCGTGGGTTGAGCCCTCTCCTGGCGAGCAGCGAAATAGCCATGAGCAGAATGGAAGAGGCGTGGAGGGAGGGCGCTGGTGAGAGGAGTGCCGGGAGTGTGGTTGTGATCAATATGGAGGCAGACGGGGAGGAGGAGGAGGAAGAGGAGGGTTCAGGGGTGGTGTCCATGCGTTGTGCGGAAGGGAATGGGATGGGGGAGAGCGGTGGGAGCAAAGAAGCGGTTGAGGGAGGAGAGAGAGGCGAGAGGGCTGGGGAAGGAGAAGGGGATGGGTTGTCTGGGAGTAAACCAGACGTGATTACAGAGTTAGCTCAGAAGTCATCAGAGGCCGAGGGAAGAGAGGCGGCTAAAAGGGCTGGCAAGCGAAAAGGGGATGAATCAGCTGGGAGTAGAGCAAAGCAGGGCAGAGGTGCTGCAGAGGAATGGGTTGAACGGGGTGAGAAAGCCGTTGTTACTGCTACTGGGGCTGCTGGTACCGAGGGGGAGCAGAGAGAGAGGTGTGTGTTTGACCCTGACCTCCTCGCGTCGATGGAGGACGTGTTTAATCGCCACAGCGCTGCTGACTGGAGCAAGGTCACCCCGCCCATCAGCCCAGGGAAAGGTGAAAGCACGGGGGAGATGCAAGGCAGCACGGACCAGCTGTGTGTGGCTCGAGGTGTTACAGGGGACGAGGGCGCGGCACTGAGAGCTCGCCCTACCCTAGAGAAATTGCCGAGCCTGGGGAAGGTGCCAAACCTAGAGAGTGCACCGCCGAGCCTGGCAGAGGTCCGGAGTCTTGAGGGTGCGGAGCTAGCAGAAGACCTGCAGGTCCCGGAGATTGTGTCGAGTGTACAGCATGCGCCGAGCCTACAGGAGGTGCCGGGCCTACAGGAGGCGCCGAACCTACAGGAGGTGCCGAACCTACAGGAGGTGCCAAGCCCAGAGGAGTGTACGAGTCCGAAGCTGCCTCCCAGTCCAAGGGGTGGAGTTACGAAATACACAAGCCCCTATAAACTCACAAGCCCCTACAAGCACACAAGCCCTTATGAAGGCACAAGCCCTTACAGTCACAGCAGTTCGTTTAAGCACGAAAGCCCTTACCAGCGCTACCCGTACAAGCACAGGCGCCTAAAGTCAGACATGACTGCAAGCCCAGCGAGCCCAAGCACCCTAGCACTGATGCAAGCACAAGCACCAGTGCACAGTAGCCCTCACAAGCACGAAAGCCCTTACCAGCGCCACCCGTACAAGCACAGGCGCCTGAAGTCTGACATGTCTGCAAGCCCAGCGAGCCCAGGGGCCCACGCAATGATGCAAGCACACGCACCTGCAGCTCGCTCCCACAGCTCCGGTAACTCCCATAGTGGCTCCCATTCTGGTTTCATGCATTCTGGTGCGTCTCCACGTGTAACCACACACGGCTGCAATAGTCCCCAGCAGCGCGACCATTCTCGTCCTGAGAATGGTAGTGGCAGTCTCTATTCTCAGGGCAGTCCCGGCCGGCTGCTTTTCCTCTCTATAAGCAGCCTCCGTTTCTCTGCTGGCGCTGCGTCTAGTGCTCATACCGTTGCATGGGACAATGTCTCTGGTGGTGGTGGCGGCTTTGACACTGCCGGTGCTGCGGTTGGTGCTGCTGTTGCTGGTGGTGGTTCTGCCACCGCTGATGTCGGTGCTGCTGTTGGTGGTACCAGCTGGCGGATTGGAGTGAACAGTGCTTCTCTGCGTCGTCTGCTCTCCTCTGCTGCCTTGGACGCTGAAGGGGGAAAGGGGGGAGAGGAAAAAGTTGAATTGGATAGCGGTGGGGGAAAGGCGGAAGAGATTGGGGGAGAGGTGGGAGCAGCAAGGGCAGGGGATGGGGGAGAAGCAGTGACGCGTGAGGCAGCAGCAATAGTGATGATTGCAGGGGTGGCAGAGGCAGGGATGGGGGAAACACAGGCGGAACGAAGAGGGGGGGACTGGGATTGCAGAGGCACGGATGGAAATGCAGGAGCCGCTGCGGCAGCAGCAGTAGAAGCAGAAGCAGGGAGAGAAGGGGAAGGAGAGGAAGGGAGGATTCCTGGATTTACGGAAACGGTAGGAGTACCCACTTCAGTAGCACTGGAAACTACACCAGCACAACCAGCGCCACCGGAAACAGCACCACCAAGCGCAGAACTGATTGGTGCATCGATTGGGGCACGAATGTCAGCAGCAGAAGCAGCAGAAGCAAGAGCAGCGGAAGCAGCAGAAGCAAGAGCAGCAGAAGCAAGAGCAGCAGAAGCAGCAGCAGAACTGTTGCCAATTGCAGCGGCACCACTCTCAGCAGAAGCACAGGCAGCAGCAGCGCGTACGCTTTTGTCCTCATTTGAGAGGAGGTGTCCTCCAGGTGGGGAGAGAGGCGTGGTGCTGTATGTGACGACTCTGAGAGCCATGAGGAGCAACTTCGAGGCCTGCTGTGCTGTCAGACAGATACTCAAGGTGAGAGGGGAGACGCTCAAAGTTTCACAGTTTCGCATGGGTGCTGTGTTTGTTGCCGCATGTGCGTATGCTAAGAACTGTGAGGAGCAACTTCGAGGCCTGCTGTGCTGTCAGACAGATGCTCAAGGTGAGAAGCAGAGTCGAGGTGAGAAGCAGAGTCGAGGTGAGAAGCAGAGTCGAGGTGAGAAGCAGAGTCGAGGTGAGAAGCAGAGTCGAGGTGAGAAGCAGAGTCGAGGTGAGAAGCAGAGTCGAGGTGAGAAGCAGAGTCGAGGTGAGAAGCAGAGTCGAGGTGAGAAGCAGAGTCGAGGTGAGAAGCAGAGTCGAGGTGAGAAGCAGAGTCGAGGTGAGAAGCAGAGTCGAGGTGAGAAGCAGAGTCGAGGTGAGAAGCAGAGTCGAGGTGAGAAGCAGAGTCGAGGTGAGAAGCAGAGTCGAGGTGAGAAGCAGAGTCGAGGTGAGAAGCAGAGTCGAGGTGAGAAGCACTTGCGTATTGGGTGACAGAGAGATGCTGAAGGTGAGAGGGGTTCCCATGCCATGGGCGGTGCTACATGTTGCAACTCTGCAGGCTGTGAGGAGCAACTCTGAAGCGTGCTGTGCTGTGCTGGCAGACAGATGCTCAAGGTGAGACAAGGTATCTCGCGGTGAGATGAGATGAGAGAGGCAAGAACTAGATGCTGCAGCGTCCTCACTGCAGTTTCGTCCCTCAGCGTCCTCACTGCATTTTTTTCGCTCAGCTTGCATCTTCCCCTCTCTCCTTCGTCGTTCGCTCCCTCTCTCTCTTTCCAACCCTCCCCCATTCAGGCGCACATCATCCCCTTCCATGAGAGGGACGTGTCTCTCCATCTGCCCTACCGCCAGCAGCTCAGAGCCCTCATAAGCCGCTCCTCCCTCTCCCTGCCGCACCTCTTTGCTGCTGGCTGCTACTTTGGGGGCGCTGCTGCTGTGCTGCGCCTGGGGGAGCAGGGGCTGCTTCTGCCGCTGCTCGCTGCTGCTCTGGCGGATGGTGTTGGTGATGGAAGGGGTGGGATGAGGGGCGGTGGAGCAATGGCAGGAGGGAGAACGGGAGAAGGACGAGAAGCAGGAGGAGCAGAAACGGCTCGAGAGGCAACGGGAGAGGAAGTAAGAGGAGGAGAACGAGGAGGAGAAAGAGGAGGAGAAGAAGCGGCAGGAAAGCCTGGGGAAGGAGCAGCAGCAGCTGGAGCAACAATGGCTCCAGCATTCGACTGTATGGGCACGGTGGTCATAGCAAGTGGAAGAGAAGGAGCAGGGGCAGCAGAGATGGCAGGAGACAGAGCGGCACCAGCAGCAGCAGCAGCAGCAGCAGCAGATGCGGCTGCTTCTGCTGAAGCTGCTGGGAGTGGCGTTTCTGCTGCTGCTCCTGCTGTGGCTACTGCAGAAACTGCATCTTATGCCGCCCATGTGCTGATGGGTAAAGACCCTCAAGGGGCAGCAGCAGGCACCAGTACTGCTGCTATCACGGGCACTGTCAGTCACGCAAAAGCAGCAGAGAGTGGTGGTGACTCGCATTGCACTACGACTGTAGAGCCTTGTAAGACTGGTGTGACTGGCGCTGGTGTGACTGGCGGCGCTGGTGTGGCTGGCAGATCCAGCGTGAGAAGAGCACTGTTCCATAGCAGCAACGGGGGTGCACAAGGTAATAATGCAGCCAGCAGTGCTGCTGCCAGGGATGTTTTCGCCGATTTTACTGCTTTGGCAGGCCCTGCCGGGGTAGGCCCTGCTGGGGTAGGCCCTGCTGGGGTAGGCCCTGCTGGGGTAGGCCCTGCTGGGACAGGCCCATTCGTGCCAGCCTTTGCTGTGCCAGCGGCTGCTCTGTACTCGGGCGGTTATGGCAGCAGCTGTGGCAGCAACAGTGTGGTGAGTGGAGGCGTATTCGGGGAAGGTTATAGTGGCATGTCGGGGGAAGGTACATCTGGGGAAGCCTATGAAGGTACATCTAGGAAAGCCTATGCAGGTACATCTGTAGAAGCCTATACAGGCAGATTTGGGGAAGGTGCAACTGGAGAGGCTTACAGAGGTACATCAGCGGAAGACAGTGTAGGTATATCTGGAGGGGTTTACAGGGGAACGTATGGGGAAGGTACATCTAGGGAGGGGTGTAACCAGAGCAGCAGCAGAGGCAGCAGCAGCGGCATGGGGTTTGCTGCTTGCTTCCCACCCCGCTCCCTCTCCTGCAACGCAGCTGCTGTCGCTGACGTGGCAATAGCTTCTGCCGCCAGGCGTGCACTCGCCCGCCCACATGGCAGCAGCGGCGGCCTGAGTCGTGCCACATCAGCACGTTCAATCTCTGTTACAGGCAGTCGGGCTGCTGCCAATCGTGCTGTCAAACTGCATGCACCACAGCAAGGAAAAGGTTGTTTCGCGTGTGGTGGGTTGAGGTATCTTATCTGCACTCTGTGTGGGGGTAGTCGGGAGGTGCTATCCAGAGATGGTTGGTCCATGCGGCAATGTGTGCACTGTGATCCTCGTGGGATCATAGTCTGCCCTCGCTGTAGAGATTTGTAAGTTATATGTTGCAAGGTGAAAGTGAAATGGTTGGTCTGAACTGTACACTTTACGCTGCTACTGCGCTAGTATCTATGGATGCCTGGTCCCTGCGCCTCTTTGTGCATTGGAATCCCCGTGGAAATAACTCTGCCCATGGTGTACAACTACTGTATACCGCGGTTGCACTGACATGGTTGGTACGCAACGCACACCCATCGTGCGGACCAGTTACATCCCAGGGCTGGTAGGGTGGCAGCCGGGAGGACTAACAATGACGCGTGTGTTGGGCTGAGAAAAGCCCTTAGGATCGTTTTCAAGACTAAGGCTCAGAATAATGATGTATTAGCGGAAGCGTTTAATGTAGGCTGATTGAACCACCTTGTACTCGTGTGTGAGAACAAGATGAGTTTATAATAGCAAAGAGATACAGGGCTTTGTATGATTCCAAGGAATATGAAAGGTTTAACTAGCTGTAATGTTACGAGTGCAATTGAGTGAGCGAGCGAGGATTGCACTATCGAGACAAGATACAATGAGCAAAGGATTGAGCGAAGAATATATAGCGAAGCTACAGTGGTAACGGTAACCTGGGGTGCGCGACGGGCCTGGCGCCGAGGTTGGGTATTGTCGAGGCGGAGGTTTGGAGCGCGGGTTACCAACCGAACCGTGAGGTTGGGTCGCATCGTGAACTGTGGCGGGAATGATGTCGAGGCGAGTGTCGCGAGTGGTAACGGATTACTGTGGGGTGCTGTTGGCGGGAACAGTGGTGTACGTGTTGAGCAGGGACGCGAAGTAAGGAAAAGGAATTTTCCTTACACTACCCCCCCCCCCCCCCCCCTTTAGGAGGCCTCTCTTACGAGAGCACGTGTATATCCTGGAAATTCCGGCTGCGCAGATACTCGGTGAGGACGGGGTGGTTTTCAATTTTGTCCAGTGGAACCCAATTGCCCTCGGTGGGCGTGCGTTCTCTCCAGCGGATCAGGAATTCGACCCTTCGAGCTCCTCGTGGGTCACGAACTCGATGGCTCAGAACCTTCTCGGGCGTGATGACTGGTTCTGTCGGTGGTCGTGTCATGCTGGCGGGGCGATTTTGGGCCAGTTGGCTGGTGGATGGGATGTAGGGGCGAAGTAGGCTGACGTGGAAGGACGGGCTGACGTACCAGTCAGCAGGGAGGAGGAGGTGGGAGGTGACGGGTGTGATCATGTGGCTGATGCGAAATGGCCCGCAGTATCGGGGGCGGAGCTTCGGGGTTATGGGCAGGCGGAGGTTTTTAATGTCGAGTAAAACCAAGTCGTCGGGCTGGTAAGTGACGGGCCTGCGGTGGCGGTCGGCGTTGCGCTTAGCGATGACGTTGGCCTTTTTGATTGCCTCAGCTGCCCTGGTTCGTGCTGCTTGTAATATTTCTGCGGGTTGTTGCGCACGTGGTACTGGGTTGTCGGGACTCGGGGTCAGGGGTACTGTAGGGTCTTGTCCGTAGTTCAGGTAAAACGGCGACTGTTGGGTCGTGGCGGATGGCGAGTTGTTGTACGCGAATTCGATGAGTGGCAGTTGCTGCTCCCAGGTGGTCGGGTCGTCGCACGTGGCTCGGATTAACTGTTCCATGGTCTGATTTGTCCGTTCTGTCTGTCCGTCAGTCTCGGGGTGGTACGAAGAATTGAACTGTAGTCTCGTGCCGAACTGCTGCCACAGGTGTTAGAATCCTAGCGTGACTTAGGAGCCATGGCTAGTGAGTGTCGAGAGAGTTGACTGTCGAGAGAATTGGAAAGGAGAATGTCGAGAGGAATGAATTCACTAGCAAGAGTTGGGATACAAATACAAAACCCTAAATTGGTTGTACTCACTACAGAGTACCCCACTGCAGGCTAGACAGCAAATACATTCTGACACACCCCCATAGTCAAAGTGGGGTATAATCAGCAGAGCAAGCAGTCATAGAGCAGGTTCACAAGTACAAGCAAAGCTAGAGGCATACACAAAGGGCAAGTGAGGAGGAGGAGGCTGGACTGTGAGAGGAGAGGAGATAGGAGGCAACGGCTGATGCTGCAGACACACGGGCAACAGGAGCGGCACGCACGGTGGCTACCGGAGCAAGAGCCCCGGAATACAGGAGTAACTGGCTCTGCAGCTAACTCTGAGCGGCAGGAGCAACAGACCCACGGGCGACAGGCGCAGCAGGCTCTCTGAGCTACCAGAAGCAGAGCCCCGGACTACAGGTGCTGCGGACGACAAGACGGCAGCCTCCGCTCAACCTCCCCCAACTGTCCCACCCCCCTTTCACACACCCCTTGCTGCACCCCTAGCTCCACTCCCACGTCACCCCCCTAGCACCACTCCCTCGGCTCCCACACACCCACCCCCCTCAGCGGCAGCTGCAGCAGTGGGAGACGAAGGAGGAGGAGGAGTAGGGGACGGTACACACACCCGCCACCCCCATACCCTCCCCCCCACTGCTGCACCCGCAGCAGGGGGATGGAGGAGAAAGGGGGGGGGGGGGGGGGGGGCTGGTGCAGCAGATCCCCTCCCTCCACCGCCGCATCCGCAGCAGGGGGAGGGAGGAGAAGGGGGGGGGGCGCGGGGGGGGGGGGGGGGGGGGCTGGTGCTGCAGATCCCCTCCCCCCCACTGCTGCACCCGCAGCAGGTAGGAGAAGGGGGAGGGGGGGGGGGGGGGGGGGGGGGGGCTGGTGCTGCAGATCCCCTCCCCCCCCTTGCTGCACCCACAGCAGGGGGGAGGTAGGAGAAGGGAGGGGGGGGGCGGGGGGGGGGGCTGGTACTGCAGATCCCCTCCCCCCACTGCCGCTCCACAATCCTTCACCCCCCAAGGATGGAGGAGAAAGGGGGGGACGGGGGGGGCTGGTGCTGCAGATCCCCTCCTGCCTCCCCCTGAACTTCCAAGCTCCCCCCCTCTCCCAACACAAGGTGAGGCAGGGAGAGAGAGAGGAGGAGGCGCGGCGGCAGCTGCTGCTGCTGAGGTACATCCGCCACCCCCTCACACCCTCTCCCCCCCGTCCCCATGGAGGGGGGGGAGGGGGGGGAGGGGGGCGGGGGCGGAGCTGCGCATGCGACTGCAGGGCACGCGGGCACGCGGGCACCGGGGCCGCGGCTAGGGGCGACGGGTTGCGAGGGGCCGAGGCTAGAGGCGACGGGGCCGCGGTTAGGGGCTGCAGGTCGCGAGGGGCCATAGATAGGGGCGACGAGGCCAGTTGGGCCGAGGGGCGCGGCTAGGTACGGGGCCGGGCACTGGGCTAGGGACGGGGCCGGGAGCTGGGCAGGTACGGGGCCGGGCGTTGGGCGCGGAACGGGGCCGGGCGCGAGGCTAGGTACGGGGCCGGGCGCGGGCTAGGTACTGGGCCGGGCGTGGGCTAGGTACAGGGCCGGGCGCGGGTTAGGAACTAGGCCGGGCGCGGGCTAAGTACAGGGCCGGGCGCTGAGCAGGTACGGGGCTGGGCGCTGGGCAGGTACAGGGCCAGGCGCTGGGCAGGGACGGGGCCGGGCGCTGGGCAGGTACGGGGCCGGGCGCTGGGCAGGTACGGGGCCGGGCACTGGGCAGGTACGGGGCCGGGCGCTGGGCAGGTACGGGGCCGGGCGCTGGGCAGGTACGGGGCCGGGCGCTGGGCAGGTACGGGGTCGGGCACTGGGCAGGTACAGGGCCGGGCGCTGGGCAGGTACGGGGCCGGGCGCTGGGCAGGTACGGGGCCGGGCGTTGGGCAGGTACGGGGCCGGGCGCTGGGCAGGTACAGGGCCGGGCGCGAGGCTAGGTACGGGGCCGGGCGCTGGGCAAGGGACGGGGCCGGGCGACGGGCTAGGTACAGGCCGATCGCGGGCTAAGTACAGGCCGGGCGCGGGCTAGGTACGGAGCCAGGCGCGGGCGAGGTACGGGCCGGGCGTTGGGTGCGGAACTAAGTCCGGGCGCGAGGCTAGGTACGGGCCGATCGCGGGCTAGGTACGGGCCGATCGCGGGCTAGGTACGGGGCCAGGCGCGGGCGAGGTACGGGCCGAGCGCGGGGCTAGGAACGGGGCCGAGCACGGGCTAGGTACGGGCCGATCGCGGGCTAAGTACGGGCCGGGCGCGGGGCGACGAAGTCGACGGGGCCAGCGGGGCCGAGGGGCACAACTAGGGGTGACGCCAAGGGGCGACGGGCCGGGGCCTAGGCTAGCAGGGCATTTGGTGGTGGGCCCATTAATGTGAGGTCCTAGGAACGACCTACTCTGATAGCATGTTAGAATCCTAGCGTGACTTAGGAGCCATGGCTAGTGAGTGTCGAGAGAGTTGACTGTCGAGAGAATTGGAAAGGAGAATGTCGAGAGGAATGAATTCACTAGCAAGAGTTGGGATACAAATACAAAACCCTAAATTGGGTTGTACTCACTACAGCGTACCCCACTGCAGGCTAGACAGCAAATACATTATGACAAAGGTTCCACCAGAAATTTCTGGCAAATTTCGTATCGTGATCGCTGATGATTGCTGCTGGTATCCCGTGTAATCGAACGATGGTTGCGATGAAGAGGCGGGCCGTTTCTTCGGCTGTGATTGATTTTTTGCAGGCTGCGAAATGTGCCATTTTCGTCAGCCGATCGACGACGACCAGGATCGCGTCGTTCCCACTCGCTCCGGCCGTGACGAAGTCCATCGTCACCTGCTGCCAAGCACGCTCTGGGGGTGGTATCGGCTGCAACTGCCCTGCCGGCCGCTTCCGTGATGATTTCATGAGTTGGCAGGTGGGACACGATGCCACGTGTCGCTGCACGTCGGTCAACATTTCGGGCCAGTA